TTATATGCACGACAACTTTACAAATCATTAAAGTGAGTTGCGTTTGCAATAACATTTGATTCATTAGATTGTTCAGATAGGTTTTCTTTGTAGATCTCTTTTAATGAGTCATTTTACTGGAATGGTGATCTTTTTCCTTTCTTGTGAGTAACAACATTGTTTCTAAATTATCGAGATTTCGTTTAGCCTTAATTCTATAATAAATAATATTATCTGATAAAAGAAGCTGTATGGTGTATTTCATTTGTAATTGCAACCTGAGTGTAATTTTATAAACTTATCCTGTAATGATAACATAACATTTTCCGCGCCGACAACGCTACTAAACCTTAATTATAAATATAACGTGTATTACCAATAGGCGTGTATATTACCATGTTCATATTAACCCGCGAATATAAGAGGAAATGAGCGCTGTATCTTAGGATTCACACGCGACTGAGCTACGCTGCAGATTGTTACGAAATGTGCCGTAACTAATGTAGCTAATGTGCTATAAAAGGGGCTTGCTTTATCTACATCGCGACGTTTCTGTCGCGAGCTCATAAATTTATGATTATTGTGATTTGACATGTTGATACAATTATTTACTTTGCATAATCTTTCCATCAATCTATCAATCATCTGAATTTTTTATTGTGAGAATTTTGATATTGGTTGGTACTAAACGCAATTAGTTTATTCTTAATGATATTAAAGTAATATTTTAATAGAAAATTAAAAAAAAATATTTGAAATAAAAAAAATATTTGCCACTTTCCTAGGACAATTAAGCATAAAGATGAATATAGAACGAAAGAGAAAGTAAAAAAAGATAAATAGATTGTGTGAAAGATAACAAGTAATTATATGCTTAGATGGTATAAAATAGAGTAAAGAAGTTAAAGTTGTTTGGATCGATCGATTTTGATGAGTTATATTATTCATTTTAGCCATTCATAGTTTATTGCTTATTGTTGGTCAGTTCTGTAGATTTTTTTTTTTCAGATAGTTGTGACAAGAGCGATGAGAAAATAAAAAATGGTGGTTTTTGTATCTTTCTTTTGTAACTTTTAATGTATATGCTAATGATATGATTGGTGATATTTTCAAAGTGTTTTCTGAAATAAATATTGTAAATAATACAATTATTAATAAATACATAATAATGACAATTATTCAGATGATGAAACTTACTCTTCTCGATGGTACATTAATTTGTCTGAAAATATTTATTATCGTTTCAGTTACTGGAGTATCGAAATTTTCATTAAACGAAATAACATGGCATTATTGAACAACCATGCATGAATTATATAATCTTTGTCCATCGTGGACCGGCGGTGGTCATACATCAATCAGCTGTAGTCAGCGCGACGGGCTCGGCAATCAAATAAAATTTAACTCAAAAGCACCCGTTAGCTCACACACGATGGAAATTTTACCATAAAAGAAATTAATATGTTTAATGTTTTTTTACCCGACTACCAAAGAAAGGAGATTATTACAGTTTCTATTTTATATCGTGACATAGTCCATATGATGTCACATCTATTTTATTAATTGTCTACGGATACGAATAGACAGTGAAATTGACAATACATCTACATACTGTTCTCACTTCTGGGTTGGAGCGCTACAGTACCAGATTCTTCCATTGGATCGCATTCAACGTTTAGCGTCTCGATTATGATCAACGCGTTACTGTTCGACTCGATTTACGGATGCGACATCTCTAAGCAGAGAGACACCGTACGATTATATAGGCACTTTCTTACACGCGTAGTCACGTTTTGGAATCAATTTCCAGTAGCAGTATTTCCAAACCAATACGACAGCGTAACCTTTAAGAAAATAATATATTCCTCTTTAAAAGGCCTGAACACACATTGCAAAATTTGCGGTGGTGCTCATGAGTGGCGGTAGTCACTTACCATCGAGTCGCATGCTGGTTTGCTCTCTGCATTATATTAAAAAAAAATAGATTATTATTTACAAAAACAAATTATGAAAAAGTTTCAATATTAAATCGTCAAATGTGTATTTTTTTTATTTTAAAATCTGAAATTTTTTATTTATTCTTTTTAATATTTCGTTTATTTGTTTATGTACTTCTTAGCCCTTTAATAAAGCAATTGTCGCAAAAATAATTTTATTATGGTCAATCAAAATGTCCCAGTTACGTGGACAAAGTTAGGGTCACAGCTTTGTTTAATGGACATTACTTTTTTGTTATAGCTGCAGTCTGCTAGCTGTAATACATACGCATCCAGATCACACATACTTTTATGATCTTTATTAAATTAGAACTATGCTCTAAAATAAAAAGGCAATAAAAGTGCCAGTCGTATGGCGAAGTTAGTTTAAGATTAAATAAGTTTTGCTGTTGGGTACTGAAAGTTACGTTGATGTAAACATTGCATAGGAATTTTTATATGCAGTTCCATGACCTGTTCTAATATAGTCTTAGATTATATAGATAGAAATGCTTCGAGAAAAACAGGTCAACTTTTTCATCCAATTTTGAGTGATAAATAGTGATTCCGTTATAACTTCTACTTTCTCTTATAAATTCTGCATCTTTTTAATGGAAAAACACTCATTTATTTATTAAATAATACGTTAAGATACATTTTATGCATAAGTATACAGAATACTGATAAAGAAAACGATTCAGCTAATTTGACGATTAGCTGATAAAAAGTTGCCCAGTTTTTGAGGCTCAATGCTCAAGTATAATGTCAATTATAATATTAAATATGCTGGTGGTAGTTAGCTGTAATGGTGGTAAGACGTGCAAGTAGGTATGCGTATAGGTATGTACGTAAAGATATTTATGTATAGTATATATAAATTTAGTTACATTAAATTGCGACATAAAAATAGTCTAGTACTTTTGCTCCGCAAAAAAGACTGATAATTCAATCATGGTAAAATAAATATGGAACAAACACGGGACTGATTGCAAATTGATCGATTGATTGCAAAATAAATTAATTCTTATTAATTTCACAGGTAACTCTAAAAAAATATATTTAAATCAATAATTATGAATGGAATTAATAAACAAAATAATTTAATAAGAAATTAAATTTGTATAAACTTTTATAATATTATTATTTTTAATTTAATTGAAATAAATTTATTAAAGTGGATTCAATATGAACCATATGACGTAGCTGATTGTTTGAAACAATATCCGGAAGTAGCCGCAAGCAAGGATAGCATCCTTCTAATCAGGAGACCACCTCGTATCTAACTACCTTAATTGTTGGCTAAAGTTCGTCGTCGGTCGGTTTTCAACTTCAAATATTCGAGTTTTATTCATCGTAATTGTAACCAAATACATAAAATAGGTACGAATCCACCTAATTTATAACTTTATTCATGTTTATAGCTACTGATTTGTGTGATTTTTTTAAATATTTAACAATTGGAGTGTTTTTTTCTTTTCTTTATAAAGATTTTAGTTTTTTTTTTTTATAAGACAGAGCAAACGAGCATGCGGCTCACCTGATGGTAAGTGACTGCCACTGCTCATGGTTACCCACAACAGCAGGTGTGTTGCCGGCCTTTTTAAAAGACCACCATTCATCCAGATGCTTGCAATGGAACTTTAGTTTGTGGCAGTTTGTACTGTGGTGTTTATGAAGGAGTCATTTGAGTTTTGAAATTATTTATGACATATGTAAATAATTATAATACAGTATGACTCATGATAGTCATTATTCAACTACGTAGTTATGCGCGCCTTGTGCTCCCGGCATAGAATGGTTTATCCCTTTCTTTCCTGTGGGTGTCGTAAAAGGCGACTAAAGGAATTTAATGATCGAGGGATGGGCGACAGCGTTCCACTTTTAACATCACGAAAGTCTAACTGCAGTTGCTAACCCACCTGCCAAGCGTGGCAACTACTGGCAAAACCCTCCAATAGAGGGAGATCTATGTTCAGCAGTGGACAGTTAACGACTGATATGATGACGGGGATGAATGTAATTATAGTCCACTTAAGTTTATTTTTTCTCTCGTTCCTCAATGATTCCCTATACCTATAATATTTGTCGATTTATTCAAGTACATGATATTTCTACATTTCTATTGATAAATTATTCAATATATTTCCAAATTTGAAAAACATTGACTCAAGTTTAAGGATAGATAAAGGGAAAATTATAATTATATGGTTTTTGTGATTTAAGTAAACTTAAAGATTTCATTCTATTTTCTTAAAACGAGAACTGAATATTTTTTTTATGTATAAAATATAGTATTATCTGATTTCGTAGATATACGACGCACTTTCAGATATACAAGTACAGAAAATCATTAATGAAAAATATAAAAAAAATAATACAATTTAGAGTGAAGTCACAATGAAACAGCATGATTATTTCACGCTTATTAACTTTGTTCAAACGATATCTGTAATCGACAGTCTCAATTCATCGAGACAAGCGCAGCAATGGTTTTAAATGTATTGAATGCTATCTGTCGCCAGATGTCATTACCAGCATTGATCTCGGTGCGTGGTTACGAGTGACGTCAACTACCATTAATGCGGGATAACGCTAGGTCAAGCGTATTAATTACCAAAATGTACAGGTAGACAGTCTAGATGTTGGTTTAGGATTACAAAGCTTGCAAACCCATCTTCCCACTATTCATATACACCTCTACTTATGTGTAAAACTAACGCATAGGTACAAAAGCAATTCTGCCTAAATTATGTTAATTATACTACATACAACTATAGCAATTTAATTATTAGTAATTATACTTTGCTTTACCTGCTTCTTTCTTGAGCTGATCTTATCCTTTTGTGATTAAAATTGTGATTAAAAGGAACATACTACGTTTTGTACATCTACATTAGTGCGTGTACACGCGTCATTTTTATATTGATAGAAATTATTCTGTTTTTGTTGATATAATCTAGTATATATTACTTTATTATTTTGTATATATTATTAAATTAATACTAAATTGCATATAACAAATAATTACATATATTAAAAAATAAATTAAATTGTCAAACTATGGTTTACGGTTCTTTCACAGAGAAACATAGCTGGGCGGTTACACCAGGTCACTTGTTGACGTAAAAAATATTTTGACGAATTTGAATGATAATGAGAAATTATTTTCAACTTTTTAAGTTCTTTTTAAAATATAGATACCACGACGAATTATTATTTATATACAGTTAGGTTATCATTACGCTTTTGTTTAATAGAATTTATAACAGTAATGAATATATCGATATAACAGCGAGCAAATTATCGAAATGCAGTCAGGCTATATATTTATTATACTCGTATTTCATCAAAAGACACATAACTAAATCGTAATTTTCGCAATCATTGTATTTTGTATCATTACCCAATATTTTGCAAACAAATAGAAAGATATCACTGCAGGGCTTGTCATCAAATAATCCTTCTCTTATCATAACTACGCAATGTTCAGTTCCATTCAAGTTATCTGGTAAACCTTGACCCCAAAGGAGGTTTAAAATTGTTCCTCTAATAAGTTCGCCTAAAATAGATATGAAGTCGTGTTTTTAAATAGTTAATGTAATATTATAATCTTCACCTTTAAGATTAACATTTGAATGTATATATCTGTTGCGTATGTGTAAATATAGTATTGTAACTTCAACGATTGCCTACCTATTTGATTTGTTTATCTTTTCTGATTTTCCTTCAACAATTGTCAACTACATAACCTACGAAATTAAATTAGAAATACCTGTTATTGGCCATACTACTTTGTTATAAAATATTTGTTAATTTTATTTGTAAATTGCTGTTGGTTTTTTAAAATAATTAAATAAATATACATAATCTCCGCTAGCGAATTGATCATGTATTCCAACAAATATTGCAGTATAATGTGCTTTCATGTTACTGATCAGAAGTTATAAATATTCCATCTCTTCTAAATTGTCCGGTACGAAGAGGGACGTGCCTTCAACTTCGCAGATATGTCGCGCTTGGTGCCAGTTTGTAGCAAAGTCATGGACGCGATAGAATGTTTTGAATGATTGTGCCCACATATAGTCCATCCGGAATTTCTTTGCTAATATTTTATTTTAATTAACATATTGTCAATAGTATTATCCATTCAAATCAATTAATACTATTGTGTTATTGTTTATTTATTAAATAAATTACAGTACGAGTAGTAAAGCGTATTTCTAATCCTGTATTTGCCTTATTTCTATTGCTGTTATCAGCGACAAGCATAAAATCAGTATTGTACTGAAATATGGGTAAAAACTAACTAGATTTGCATCTGTAATAATTTTATGGCAGCCATTAATATTTCCAGTGTATAAAAAGCATTATTATTACTATTATTTAACCCTGTGCTGTTATGTAGTAACAAAGCCTTATATCATAAATCTTATCAGAATTATCAGTATAAAGATTTCTACCTAAGAGTATAAGTAAAACTCTAACATAAACACCTCAGTGGTTTGGTTCCAAATTCAATTGCTTGACATCCAGTTCCAATCGATCGCGTTCACAGATAGCTCAGTATCAGTTATTTTTCCGTGATTACAGGTTTGGCCGTCGGAGTGGCCCGCCCCACTTGGTCCTTCCCATACGCTTATTTGAATCTCTTTTCTAAAAGACTTCCTTTTCTGTGAGTGTCAGGTAATTATCTGTGTGGCATTCCAATTTTCCGATCGAACGGTTAATTCAGTTTAAATCTCTTCGTGTAATATGTACGGCTATAGGCAGTACCTAATCCTAGTCCCTCGGAACCAGTTCTCGAGTCGGGTAACTCGGGCGAATCGTCATAATATGGAGAGGGATTCTTTATTCACGTAAGTACGCAACTGAAATAAGTACATTTTGCTGTGTAAAATAAATAATAATTTTGAACGTAAGAAAATCAATATGAGGCTATTTCAGAATAAATTTTATCGACTGCCTAAAGACTTATCATAATCGGTTTGGTGTTGGGAAAGATGTTTGCAAACCAGAAAAATTGAAAATTATCATTTGTAGATAATTTAAGAGATTATTATTTATTTTGTTAAAGATATTGCTTAACGGGTTTATTTTTATATGACTTAAGAAATCGATTTGAAATGCTCTCCTAATAGCAATTTATTTTTAATTGAATTATTTTTGATATTTTAATAATTTTTTTGTCTTCCAGAGAATGAATTACTAGAATATAATAATTTTTTTTACTAACCACTACTTCTTATTAACCAATTGTATGAAATAATACATAAAAAAATTTAAATGGATAAAGTAGTTTTGTCTAAAACCCCAATTCCATCTCCATCGAATAAGAGCTTCATTTCAGTAAATAAAGTTCGGTGCCAACTCATCAGCCGCAGTGGGGCGGGATCTGATAAAAGTTGTCGGAAACTTTCTTTCGCGATATCGCCACCTTCGTCATGTAAATTGGACAAGTTGCGGCCTGAGCTGATGCTTGTTTCATTGGTAAATATAGATTAGCTCTTAATCTCACCACTTTTCGTACAAAATTGTTTCCAGATGAACGAACGGTTCAGTTCGGGTCGGGTCGTGAGGGTCGAGTGTCTTAACTTTAACAAGGTATTTACATACCTATGTACAAATGAGTTTATTTATTTAATTCAATGTAATGTAATGTAAATTAATATATTGTCTCTCTAAAATACATATTTGTACCATATAATAATGCGTAAAATCATTTACTTTATTTTTATTTTCATCTTTAGCTACTGATCTATATTTTTAATCTTCAACTGTTGTTAAAGATAAATATCAATAGCTAAACATAAGCCTTCTCTATATTTCATTATACATACATATTGAACTTCAAAATTTTTTATAAATTTTGAATATGTATGTACAATTTATTTTTTATTCGGTTTTCTCTACTGTCTTCTTAAATAGTCTAGTGTTTAAGAAAACACAGAAGGTACAAATGCTAGGAAAATGCAAGAATAATCTTTTATGCTTATTTGACTTGCTAATTGACATATTCGTATTAAGTCTATTGTGAATTATTTTATGTATTCTTCATGATTTTATAGCTTTTGTCCTAACATCGAAATTGTCTTTAGGGGATTCTAAGTTTTTATTGAAGCGGCTCAGATACAAAAAGTAAATAACTTCGATACTTTTATCCTTTTCAACCGGGTTAACCCGTAAACCATCTCAGTTTAAGGAGGCATTAAATCGCAACTCAAACAAGAACCGTTACAGTGAAGTTAACTCACATATTGCTTTGTGTCACGAACGTTAAAGCGAACAGTGGAGCTGGAGAGATGTGATGTCGGAGAGGGACGGCGCATGCTTAGGGTTGGTAGGTTGCAATATTGAAGTCCGTTTTGCAATGCAAACTCTAGGCACTGAATTTAAATATTTGGGCTGTATTTTTGTTGTGTAAAATAAACATTTGGAGCGCGATTCAGTTCTAAACTAAATACAGGAAAGTTATATTGAAATTATCGGGCGATAAATCAATATTATCTGGTATCTACAAATGGTAAAATAGGTTTATAATTCTAATGACAAAAAGTGGAAAACGCCACGTACAGATATACTGTATATTGAACAATAATATTATCATATCATCTATGGTAAATCTTATTATTTTATTCCTTTATTGCTCTTGAAATAGCAAATAAGTTGACAGTCCACCTGACGGAAAGCGGCAACCGTCGCTGATATACATAAAGAGTAAAAATAAAGTATGAATGAATGAATTTTATTGCAAAAAATGTGATACAATAAGGTCATATGGTAGTATTATAATGGTTTCACACATTTTGTCATTACTGACGTGCAACAGTCATTACATAAGTTATGACAAAACATTTTTTTTAATATGTAATAATATAATAAAATAACATGTAAAATTTTTAAACGCTAATTGCACAGATATAGTAATATAATAATAATTGCAATATAATTATACAGAAATGTCAAACTTTTATAATGTGTTAATATTTTATATTTTGTAAACATTCCTGGACACTATAGCAACACTTATTTCTTAGCCATTTATATAGTTCTTTTTTAAATTTATTACAATTTGAGTTTTTAAGATTTGTTGGCAGTTTGTTATATATTGTAACTGCCAACTGAATAACAATTTGAACTATATAAAGATGTTTTTATTCTTAGTAATACAAATTTACTACAATGTCTTCTAGTGTATTTACTAGGAAAGTCTTCTTTATTTTTGAACAAATCAAGTAACTTCCTAAGGATTCAATTCTGAAGAATAATCTTATTAATATAATAAAATTTTAATCAGAAGATATCTGTACATTTGAAATATTAAAAAAAAAAAGTTAAAAAAAAATAAAGATTATGGGACTTAATATGAATACTAACTGAGTAGGAGCTAAAACAATATTTTTTAGAAATTTTATTTCTCTTTTTGTATGTATGTTTGTTCCGGCATTAAGCAAGAACTATTGCACCAAATTGCTTTCGATTTTCAAAGTTATGTTCCTGAAGGTGATTTATTTAATTGTTTTTTCTACTCTTGAAATCCACGCGTAGCAAGTATGAACAGAAAGCTAGTGTATGTGATAATAGTAATGTAAATGCATGGTATTGTATTAGAAATTGTATTGATTAAATATCTTATTATTCAGATAGAAACAACACACAAAAAACTGTTTTAAAGTAATATTGAAATTAATAACACTCAGGGTAGTCATACAAAATTCCAGTATCAGTTAGTACAATATTATATATTTGTTTAAATATTTACAGTTGAACGGATGTTTAAATATTGTAAATAGAGCAACCCTAGATATACTATATAAAAGTAGGGTGTGGAGGGTGTAAAAGGAGAAAAACTACATGGCTAAAAGTGAATGCGGTCGAAAGCCGCGCTTATTTCTACGCTAAGTGCATGGATTTCTTTCAAGTGATGTTATGAGCCGGGTACGCTAGTGACACACGGTTTCGGTATTCAGTTGCGGTGCACAAAGATTTAAGTTTTTTATAATACTCAAATGATATTATACGAATGGTAGAATATGTGAAATAAATAAATATTGTAAACGAATTTAAACTATTATAATGAATTATTACAGTGTGTTACCAGTACAGGTAGGTATGCTTATCAAATACAATTAATAATATTCGCAAAACTAGGTATTTCGGGCTTTTTAATGACGGTGATTTATATTTTTAAATTCACATTCTTTGCGTATCTATGTTACGCGATATCTTCGCCAATGTTTGTAATTGTAAACTGATTTTGTTTATTCATTGCTCATATAAAGGTATTTACTTTTATGTGGCTTCCATATTAATTTAAAATTATATATATATATATATATATATATATATATATATATATATATATATATATATATATATATATATATATATATATATTGACTTGCCATTGTATTGACGAAAACTGTTACATTGGTTAATAAAGAAATATAAATAAATATCAAACTATAGGACTAATTTCAATAATCGGATTTAAATTTGCAAATTATTGTAACTCATAATTAGGTAGTACAGATAGTTATTACATTAAATATCTATTTAACCAGGTAAATGCATGCGGTTCGTCAGCCATGACAGCATATAATTAAGCTTTTAAAGGCGTATTATGCTCTTAATTAGTCGCTTATTAAATTGCATAGGTTGCAAATTCTAGTTATACGCATGGGAATAGACCGTCAAAGCAATAGTGATTTATAATATTAATGTAATATGTATTTGTATTGTTTGTTTGATGTATGTAATGGAATATTAATTCCATTATACTCACCAATTTATTATAAATGTGTGCGAATTCTAATAAAGTACAAGTACTTAATTAATCCTGACTAAATTACATTTTTGATGGAAACGTTTTTCATGCTTTATTCACAAAAAAGCTTGATTAATTTTATTCGTGTGTTGAAGATAAAATGTATTTTTGTTCTTTTCCATATTTATAAAGTAAAATATTTATTATTTATGTTAATATTATTGTAATTGATCAACGATTTATTAACTAGATCTTTCTCGCCAAAAAGTCAAAATAACTAACAATACAAATGGCATCTACTTTCTATTGATGTTTGACGTAGTTATTATTACACAGTCCGATAAATTTCTACCGCTATTTTATACGAATAATAAACGCAGTGAAGTGAACGAGTAAGCAATAATGGTGTTTTCACCAAGTGAGTGTAACGAAATACAAAAAAAAAAAATTTTTTTTGGCTTATAAAAGAAAAATAGAGAATTGAATGCGATCACTCCACGAGACGATTTCGCATTGAGCCACTTTATCGGTCGTAACAATACTATTCATCGCTTAAGGTAAATAAAAGTGCCGTGTTTTTGACATTCATAAGGTTATTGTAGGCGAATACATAAGAGCGGCCGCACCTGGGGCCCGACGCTCACAATGGGCCTATACAATAAGCCCGCGAAGTAAACTGAATAACTTTATTTAAGAACACAATAAACCACTTTTTACTAGAAAGGTGTGAATGGTCCCACGGACCGTGTGGGTGAAGAAAAACACCGATATATTTTTTCTCGTTAAAATCAATCAATTGTGATTTATAAAGTTGTTACACCCTTGATTTTGCTATGTGAATATCCGGAATACGAGGTTTGTCCGGAAATTACGTATAAAAGTTTTTTAAAAATTTTATTTTACAATTATTCAAGTAAATCAATTTTATCCCCTACAAAGTACTCCCCCTGTGACATATAATTCCTTGAAAGTCCTCTGGTTGTGCATAGCTTTTTTTATCTCATTTATCTCCCCCAAAAATAATTTGGTTTTTGGGAACAAGAAGAAGTCACACGGGGCCAAATCCGGCGAATAGGGGGTGTTCGGTCACGTAATGGAATTTTTACTCAAAAACTCACGGAACGATCTTGGCGCAAATTTTTTTCATTTGAAGTTCGTTTCTTAGAATTTCGTGGACCACGGTTTTGCCCAAATTAAGCTCTTCAGCAACCTGTCTGACCGTTAAACGACGGTCCCCATTAACACAAGTTCGAATTCTTTCCACGTTTTCGTCGGAATGTGAAGTGGAAGGACGTCCTGAACGTGGGTCATCTTGAACGCTTTCTCGGCCCTCTCTGATCTTTTAGCCACTTGTGGATAATAACTGTTCTGAGACAACACGAGAGTAACTTCACAGATGGCGTGACAAGCCAGTTCGCACCACACGGCGGTCAGACCAGAACTGAAGCATTGTTAGGGACATAAGGAAGGGGGCGCTTACCTGGCCTCCCCACTCCTCTTTCTCGCATTCCAGAACACTTTTATACGAACTTTCCGGACAGACCTCGTATACATATAATTCCACTTGCATATTTCTAAAAATAAGCAGAATAGGTCACGAGTCACTATCTGCCTATTTTTAACTTCTTTATATTAAAATAATTAATGTTTTCTTGAATAAAATAATTAATGATCAGAAATTGATTACTAATACTAGATAGAAAGCTTATTGGCATTCCTGCAGCTTTTGAAATGAAGTCATTATCTCTATGTACGTATGTATGTATAACAATGTTGCTTAAATAGATGAAGATAACTATTTAAATTTGTTTTGTGAATTTAGATCAGGCGGATATCAAAAGTACTTAATTTTTTTTTCCTTCTGTACCATAAGTAAATTTGTATTGATAACAATTCTATTTATCTGCTGGTTTACATAATTGTAACTTGAAGCCCAGGCGAGTAGTGTCACAGTATGACACCTAATCGGCGTTTATATTGGTCATGCCATTTCATATAACTCATCTAATAAGTAATTCATTAGGATCAAATTTACGTAATAGGCGAAACTCCTCACGCGAGTCCTCCAGAGTAATGGGTAAGACATGGTGATAATTTAGATATTATACTTTATAAAAAGTTTTTAGAATATGAACAAAAAGTTTATAACTTGTTTGTCTAGACACATATACCTAAGTTATAAAGATATCTACTTAGTCTTTTAGAGAATTTCGGTAGTCTCTTGACAATTTAGATTATTTATATTTTTTAACATTCTTGTCTTTTGTTCTTTACATTATTTTTAATAGAAAAAAATAATTTCTGATTATTAAATTAAAAATTATTAACCGACTTCAATATGGAAGCGGTTTTTAATTCGGTTGAAATTTTTTATATTTGTTACGTCATAATTCGGCCAGTTCTAAGCCGATTTGGAATAGGATACACTTACAGATTGATCCCATAGAAATTTCATTGAAATCAGTTTAATAATTTAGTTTTGTGATTAAAATAATTGGTTTTATCACATTTGAAGTCGGTTTTTTTGTGGGACACAATCTTTAATTATTTTCTATATTAGGC